TCAGGAGTCTGAGGCAGGAGAATTGCCTGAACCCAGGAGGCGGAGGTTGCCGTGAGCCGAGATCGCGCCATTGCACTCCAGCCTGGGTAACAAGCGTGAAACTCCGTCTCAAAAAAAAAAAAAAAAAAAAAGAAGAGAAAATTGATTTCTAATGAAACATACGTTTCCGTAGCCAATGTGGTTCATAAACATCATTACTTTCCCTCCAGATAATAAATTTTAGTGAAAAAATTCTTTACAGAATTACATCATTGATAGGTTTGAATTGATGAGAAAGCTTTATTGTTTTCTGGAAATAAAGAATTATTTTATTTTTTTCCCAATCTATAATGATGTCAAGACAATGCTGGGAACTCTCTTGAGTTTATATTGGGTAATTGTTTCTTTAACAAACATAATAACAAAAATCACAGTTATTAATACGTTCCCAAATTATTATACAGTAATAATAAAGAATCAGAGAATAATAATAAAGAATTTATTTAAAGAAATTCTTATTTGGAGCTTTAATTCAGAAACTAAATATTTCCAAGAATTTTATTTACTGTAATTCTGATTGCTTGATAGTTTTTGAAAAGGTTTGCTCATCCATCTTTCCTAGGGTACCATGGAAAATTTCCATCTATACTATTATTCCTTGAAAATAATGTAATTTTAAAGGAATTAAAATAATATGTACTTAAGGTGAAAAAGAGTATGAGTTGATGGTTATTATACACTTTTCATTTATAGTATATAAAATAATGCATTTATAAATTGAAAAATCTATCAATGCTATGCCATATTAAAACATTCATACACACAGTTTTGAAAGCATTTTCTATTTTTAATTTGCATATTTTTAACTGATGATTTTTCCTCCTCTAAGAAACAGGTGGGATAGAATCAGAAAGCAGAAGGGGGTTGAATTTATGGTACATAGAAAGTTGTTTCTGTGAATACTACCTTAAATTCTGATTATGTTATCATGAAGAATTTTCTATATTTTAAATAAATAATATTAGAAAAGCCATCTACATTAATATATATCTTCCTCTCCCAAAGCATTATGCTTCTTTTAAATCTGGGTTACCCTGTTTGCAAAAGAGAACAAAAACCGAAATTCCAAAACTCCCCAAAAAACCACAAACATAAAACAACTGTCAAATAAACTCTATATTTATTTAAATGATCATAAATGACAGTCTTAAGACTAAGAATGTATTTACTAAATGAATCACCTTGAAGCTTTGTGTTCTAATGTATATGTGAGTATGAACTTAAAATACTAAAGTATTTAGGGACTACAAAAATTGTTTCTTTAAAACTCGACAGTAATCTTTGAAGAAAAAGGAATTAACATTTTATTTTATTTTTATTTTAAATAAAAATTCTTTTCATATTAAAAGATGGGGGTTCGCCATGATGGCCAGGCTGGTTTTGAACTCCTGACCTCAGGTGATCCACCCACCTCGGCCTCCCAAATTGCTAGGATTACAGGCGTGAGCCACCACGCCTGGTCAGGAATTAACATTTTTAAAGACTGATTGCCTGGTACTCTGCCAGTGGTTCCACATTTATATCCTTAAATCTTTTTCATCATTCTATAATATGTTTTTACTCTTTAGGTCGTTGAAGCTCAGAAAAGTTAAGTAAAGCATTCAGGGTTACACAGCTATTGCACGCTGGAGATACATTTCAAATCTATGAACACCTAACTTAAAAAGCCTATGTTGGTTCCATTACATCTCTCTGGGGACATCACTGTTTGTTCAATTATCAGAGTCTTAGAGATGTCTACTTCTTGTGAAAATATTGATCAGCTGTCAGCAACAGTAAGACCTATAGTTAGCTTTTAGTTAAGTAGGGTTTCTACATGAGGAAAAGGGGTCGGAATAGAAACGTTTCTGTTAAATGGGAGGGGCAAGGCCCACTTAAAAGTAAGAAAAAGGGTGTAAAGGGTCTGTTATTTTACTCTGTTTGCAAAGTAACAAGTGAGTCTGCAGTCTCTCTCTCTCTCTCTCTCTCTCTCACACACACACACACACACACACACACTCTCACACAGCACTCAAGAACATAATATTTTAAGATTTCTAGGTCAGAGAAATCAGTTTTTGCTTACGGCAAAAAGCAGCAGCCAGAGCAGTAACTTGCCACAGCCTCTCACGTTCCAGTTCTCATGGGGTGAGATGATGAATGCCAGAGATTTATCCACCTGTGCAACGTGTCGCATCACAGAAGAACCCCAAACTCTCACTGGGGTTGTCTGTAGAGAGATTATCTTAGAATATAAGTGAATCTCTAGCATAGCAGAGGACGGTATTTCTAGATTTAGTCCTCTGGAATGTGAGGCAAATGTCTCTGGGTGGCAGTGGGGTAGGAAAGGCTGTCATCTTTTCTATTGTGGAATGTCTCTAAATCTTTCTAGAGGAATACACCATCGCTAGCTTCCATAGTCAAACATATCCTTTGCTCAAAGGCCTAGAATATGCAGGAATTTAGGATGTTCATAGAAACTTGTCTCTCAACAAAGCCTTGGCACCAGTAACTCCCATTTTGCTGGACCACTTCTATAACCTCTGGCTTGAACTGTAGCTTGTATATTTGATGAGCTATTCTTTATTTTTCTTTCTTTCCTTTCCATATTTTGGTGAGATTATTAGCCCCAGAAAACAGGGCATGAAACAGCAGCTGGAGTCCAAGCAGTCTAGTTGAAAGTGTGAAGTTCGGCACTAGGAGCAAGAGATATGGTGAATGAAACAGGGAGGGAAGGAGGAAAAGGCAGGACAAGCTTTTACTTTCAGATTTTCTCCTTGCGGTCATTTGGATATTCCAGGTTCTGAGCGCAGGTCCCCTTCCGCCTGCTTGTGGCTCCTGATGAACGGTGGGTTACATCACATCAGCCACGTATTTTGTTGCTTCAACTCCTTTTCACCCCCTGTTCTTGCTTCCACGCCCCCAAATCGAGCGTTTTCTCTTTTACCTTGGCTTCAGGCTCTGCTTTCCGGAGAATCTTGGCCAAGACAAGCGTTTTGAAGTTTAAGAAACACTTCCACAAACATTATCTTACATACATCGTTTAAAATTAAGATATTTAAATAAAAATATCGTGAACATAGTTGAACCATTAAATTGTTTCAAGTTCTTACGTGGAAAAACAGCAATCTCCTGCCTTTCTGCCTCCCTGCTCTGCCAATTCAATACCCAAAGGTACTATTTTCAACATTTCAGCAGTAACTTCCATTTACTTAAGTATTTGTTTTATATGTGTATGGAATTCCCAAAAATATCAAGTTTAGGGAGTATCTCTTTCTACTTTATAGATAGTTGAGAGCTCATTACCTCTGCAGTGATTAGGCTGGTTCCGTTCACCTGTTTGTTTATCTTTTGATTAATAATTGCTTCATTTTTTAATTTGCTTTTTATACAGACCTATAATCAACTTCCCCAAAATTTTCTAGCACAATCTACTGAATACCAATAATCCTATTCCAAAACAGCGTAATAGTAAATAATATTTCAGTTTTATTTTATTTTCCTAGAAATCTTGGCTGGGTGCGGTGGCTCAAGCCTGTAATCCCAGCACTTTAGGAGGCCGAGGCGGGTGGATCACGAGGTCAAGAGATCGAGACCATCCTGGTCAACATGGTGAAACCCAGTCTCTACTAAAAATAGAAAAAATTAGCTGGGCACAGTGGCGCGTGCCTGTAATCCAAGCTACTCAGGAGGTTGAGGCAGGAGAATTGCCTGAAGCTAAAAAAATAAAACAAAAAAAAAAAAGAGAAATCTCCTCTTCCACATCTCTATCCATTCGCTCTAATCTGCAGTGTTTAATCTCTAGGACTAGTGCACAAATATTATCCTGGCATTTTCCTTAGCTTCTCTCCTCTGTTAGATATTCTTTTTTTGTGAATCATTTCTTCCAGTTTCTGGTTTACTTTTTTTATTTTTCTGGCGCACGTTTTTAGCTTTCTTAAAAAGATCAACATTTTGAGAACCTTTGAACTAAGTCAGTTTATGGGGTTCATCTAGGTTGAAAGTTAGAGAGAAAGATCACTTGGATTTAGCTCAAATTACTTTACTTGGATTTATACCAAACTAGAGAACAATATTAGAAAATATATGGGATTTATATATGAGGTATATATGTGTAAGTGTTTACAGCCCAGATTCTGCTCAGAGTTTTGTGGTCAATGCAGCCTGGACATAGTACATACACCTCAAGGTCCTCAACACTACAACCGTGTGCTTGCTGCTTTTTATTCCATTAGCTTGGTAGAAGGGGTCATGTCAGCGTTCAAGAGTCTGACTAATGCTTTCCTGACTTATATGTTACTGTAGCATTTGGCCGTGACTCAATACTCTTTGTTTATGTGAAAATGTTTTTATTTTCCTTAAATTCTTGATTTATAGTTTGACTAGAGGGAATATTCTAAATTGAAAATCATTTTCTCCACAATTTTGGATGCGTGTCCTAACTTCCTACTAACCTCCAACATTACTCTTAAGTGATCCAACGTCATCCTCAATTTTATTTAATTCATTGTGTCACTTTTTTTCCCTCCACGTTTACAAATTTGTGATCTTCCCTATAACCCACTGAGTTACTGCACTCACTGGCCTTCTCTTACCTCCTCCCCACCTCCTTTACATTGGTAGCAGTTTCCGGGGTAGAAAGGCAGGGAACTTTCTGGTTAGATGCGCATTTATTACCTGCCGTTGGCTCTCTTCAGAAATTTTAATAAATATATTTTATTTTTAACTGACAAATGATAATTATATATTTATGGAGCACTTTTTGTAGTTCTATAAAGTGTCTTTAGGTTTCACTCCTGTTGTTTTATATCACCAGGGTTGTACAATTTAAGAAAGATCTATATTGATCGAAAGAATATACCCGATGTCTTTGGCAATGAAATCCAGAGCTCAATCATAGGAGTTCAGCAATGATGCCAAGTAAAAATGAAAATTATGGTTAAAGAACTGAATGCACATTTATAAACATCGATAATGTGGAAATAATAAAAAAAACAGTAAGTTGTGAGAAGAAAGTTGAGTAATTCCTATGTACTCACTTTCTAAACTAGGGAATGATAAATGAATAATATCTTAGTCTAGTAATTAAAGAAATAATGGGTTGAGTATGCCTTAAAATTACAAATGTAATCTACTTCAAACCTGATTTAATAGTCAGCAATCATCCACTGTAAGAACTAAATTATGATACTGTCCTTGGATCAAGAAGATATCAAATTTTTAATATTTCTTCTCACATCCTCCCTTCTTTTAAGGAAGAAGTATTCATTTCTTGTTGTATCTGCGGCAGCAACTGTTTTGAATAAAGAATCAGGTAATTGGTGAGAAGAGACCTTGCAGTTGAGAGCATAGGCATAGCAGGTGGTAAGTATCACTTAACATAGATTTGATATAAATAGAAGAATAAGGATTTCATGAAACACTACATGTATTCATTTACTTTCTGAGACCAACACATATTCAAACTGCTTTTAAATTATTGTTAGCTTTTTTAATTGAAATTTCCTCATTGGAACTTTATGCTGTGATTGAGCCACAAAGGAGTTTAACTTTAGGTGGTATGCCTTTGCAAATACTAGCCTATGTATTTTGTAAGATTACACTTACCAGTTTACCTATATTCTGTGGCTTGAGAGAAAAAACAGGGTAAGCAAAATTCCTTTGTTAACCTCTTCAAATGAAAAACAAAATAGTAGTGTTAACCAAAGACAAGTTAACTGTCTTTTTCATTCTCCCGCTTGTCACTCATAGATCTTAGCAAAAACAATTTGTCTCTGGTATAAATACAGGTCTATTTATTTCTCATGCAATTGTAGGATAGAATTATTTGAGCTTTAGAGTTGTTAAGGGACCTAGAAATTTAAGTGACTTGTCCAAGTTCCGTCAGGCAGTTAATAGCAGAGAATGACTTCGAATTCAAGTTTTTGGGCTGATGAATTTCTTTGCACAGTAGCATGACGTCTCTAAAGCAGTGAAACTAAAATTCTGATGTAGAATAATCACTGGAAATCATTAGACAATCTCCCAGAACTGGGGTCAAGTGCAGAGATACGTGTTCTGAAGTAACCCAGTTGTCGTAGTCCACTCTTGGCTATACATTGTCTTAAGGTTGCTTCTCTTAAAGCTTAGCAGTCACTTGCTTTCACAAAACGTTCATATCAAAATGTTAATGGTTTCCAGTCCTGATTAATGATAGTGGAGTAATTTTTGCTTTCATCCTTGCAGAAAGAAATCAGAGAAAATCTGCTCTCATTGTGTGTTACTGTAAACTTTTAAATTGAAAACCAGTTATTATCAAAATAATCATACAAAGTGGTTATTTCACATCATGGTTGACTTGGATTAACCTTTTTGATACCTGTGCAAATCTTTAGCTGTTTAAATCATTTAAATCTCAGTCGTAGAAATCCGTCTCAAATTCCTTTTTAACTTTTAGGGGAATGGAATTTCTGTATCTCTCATCTTCAGCATTTTTCATGTTTTTCTTCACCTGCATTATAAAACTTTATGAACCTGTGCTGGAATGCAACAATGTAGCTTACAGTCCATTGGCTTTGCTGCAATCAGTCTTCTGAGACGCCTTTGTGGACATGATTTTGCAGGTAATGGGCTGTTTCAGTTCTGCTTGAGATTTCATTGCCATCTCCATCTCAGCAACAGCTGTGTTTTGCTGTTGTCCTTTGGAATACATAAATAAAGGGGAGAGCATGGGTATTCCTTTTAATGTTACTTCCCAGTCCATACTTGTTGTAACTAAATAGAGTGTTTGGTTGCTTTGAGAGAAAGATGTTATGAAAATTCTGAATCACATTCTGAAAGCTTTTTGTCAAATTCCAGTAAGTCTTGTTTTTGGCAAATCAACTGTTTTGGTGAAATAATCATGTGTTCTTTCACAATAAAATGGAAAATAAAACAATGCGAATAAAGTCATTTGGCTCAGAAGAGGTTATAGAATTATCCGGTTCAGAGGTTGACAAGCTATGACTTGTGTGTCCAATCTGTCCCTGGCATGTTGTTACAAGTAACATTTTATTGGTCACAACTGCTACCATTTATTTATCTAGTGTCTACACATACCCAGGTTTTAACAGTGGAGTTCAGTTGTTGTGAGAGACACCATATGACCTATAAAGGCTGAAATATTTACTACTTGACCCTTTATAGAAAAAGTGTACTGAACCCTCACCTAAAGCAATGGTTTGAAGCCTTTATAAAACTCTTGGAAAGCTTTTGAAAACATGCACAAGTGTGGACCCTGTACTCAAGGATGGTTGTGATTTGGCTCCATGTCTCCACCCAAATCTCATGTCAAATTGTAGTTCTCACATGCTGAAGGTGGGGCCTGGTGAAAGGTGATTGGATGATGGAGACAGTTTCTAATGATTTAGCACCATCCCCCTGGTGCTTAAATCTGTTGATTTAAAAGTGTGTGACAGTTCCTCGCTTGCCCTCTCTCTTTCCTGCTGCCAAGTAAGATGAGCTCTGCTATCCCTTCACCTTCTGCCTTAATGGTAAGTTTCCTGAGGCCTCTGTAGCCATGTGGAGCTGTGAGCCAATTAAACCTCTTTTCTTTATAAATTACCCAGTCTCAGGTAGTTCTTTCATTTTTATTTTTATTTTTTAGATGAAGTCTCACTCTGTTGCCAGGCTGGAGTGCAATGGCACAATCTCGGCTCACTGCAGTCTCCGCCTCCCAGGATCAAGCAATTCTCCTGCCTCAGCCTCCCAAGTAGCTGAGACTACAGGCATGCACCACCATGCCCAGTTAATTTTTTTGTATTTTAATAGAGACGGGGTTTCATCATGTTCATCAGGATGGTCTCGATCTCCTGACCTCGTGGTCCGCCTGCCTCGGCCTCCCAAAGTTCTGGGATTACAGGCATTAACCACTGCTCCTGGCCTCAGCTAGTTCTTTATAGCAGTGTAAAAATGGACTAATACAAGAATTTAAATTTACTTGGTTTGGGACAGTGCTTAGAGATTCCTACCTAATTCAAACGTGTGGTTATGATTGAAAACCACCAACTGACTTCTACAATAAATTTACATTTTTCACGAAATACATTGCATTTTTGTGAGAGGGCAGGAGACCAATCAGAGAGACACAGACTTGTTAGTTAAGGCTCAGATAAAAACAAAGGCATGTAACTTAATTAAGATGACTTTCATTTTTTATTGATTGACCAAATAGATTTTTCATGAATGGCCTGACATGACTTGAGATGATCCTAGAGAAACTGAATAATCATGCTTCAGAGGAAGAAAATATTACCTTGAGTTTCAGTGTCAAAGAAGACGTCACAGGTGAATATTTTGAACTGTGTCTACAGGCTTCAAATACGGGTAGGAGTCAATGCTTCAGACAGGGGTATTAGATATTACCATTACTGCCTTCTGTTTTTCTTCTCTGCAAGTCTGCCTTAAAGGCCAAGGATTCAGAGTTTTTCCATTGCAGTTTGCCTCACCCACTCAATTCAACAAAATGTCTGAATCCAGGCACTCAGTGCTAAAAGGGCATGTCACGGGGAACAAGACGGATGTCGACCTTGCTCTGTAGAAGATCTCCATACAGTAACAACGTGGCCTAATAAACGCTACGGTGAGGGAAGTACCTGGTGCCTTCAAGTCATATAGTAGAGTTACCTTACCAAGCCTTGCATACTCTGAGAAATCTTTCAGACTAAATACATTCTACATCGGAACATTTTGAAAGATTGGTATGGAATAGGGCAAAATAGGGCTGGTCAAAGGTAGAAGGATGGGAGGAATAAATTAAGAAGCGGTAGTTATTTGGGAGTGAGTAGCATACAGTGCAAGATGGGTGACATCGTGGACATGGGTTTGAAGAGTAAGTCAGATTCAGATGTGAAGGGCTTTTATTTGTTTCTTTGTTTATTTTAAATTAATACATAGATTTTATTGAATTTTGGGAACTTGGTATTTCTTTTTAAGTTTCAAATCTTTGCACACAAGTTTCCACTATAGTTTCTAATATAGTGGAAGTTAGGACTTCAAGACCGTCACTTATCTTCGTGTGTCACATAACACAGACATCCCAAGTCCCAACACTGCCCCTGGACTCCTTTTCCAGCCATGAACCGAAGAATACAAAAGGGAAACCCACCTATGATCCAAATTATGTCGTGCATTGCAAAGTGTGTGTGGCGTGATTTGGGGGTTGATTTTCCTCTCGCTTCAGTATAGTATGCTCCTGGATAGGTGATCTCCTTAAATATTCTATCTATTTCCATCGTTGTCCTCTGCTACAATAATAGAGTAGTTCGTAGTCATGAGGGGCTTTTTAAATGTCATGTTTAGGAGTGTGGAGTTTCTACAAAACAATAGGAAACCCTGAAAGAGTTTTGAACTGTGGAATGACATAATCAGAGAGCAAATGTGTTGTTATGCTGATATGTGGGGGAAAGATTTAAGAAGGAGCAGGTCTTGAGATAAGAAATTCAATTATGTGTCTGATATAATATTTCAAGACCCAGAGGCTGGTCCAATGAAGCACAGTTGTGACAACAGTGAAGGAGGTAAGCAGATGTGTTTCAAAGACAATCTGGAGGTGCAATAGATACAGGACCTGGAGATTGTTTACACATTAGCTATAAAGAGAGAATTATCAGGGACAGCAGAAGATCTGGCTCTATCCTTGTCCAAGAAAAATAATTTACAGTGCATAATATTGACCTATGGTATTTACGGTATTTACTACTTCAGTATTATATCTCTCTTGCCTCCAACTCTGCTACTAAAATAAGTATTAAAAAAAAAAACCCTCTGGCTCTACTGAGAACACCAGTACAGTCAATTTGCTTCATGATCCTCGAGGAGAGGGTTGATTTGGAGGATTTCATTTTGTAATTCACTGGGGGCTCATGCTGAAATGAACTGTGACACATTCACAACTATCTTAATATTGCAAAACGTAGAATGCAAGGATATTTGCGTACCTCTGTCTGCCAACCTTGGACAAGAAACCCCTTTCACCTTAAAACTCATTCATCCTTCCAAATGATCCCATTTAGTGTGTGACTCATATTCATTCAGCTGCAGTACTCGAAACATTTAAAGGATCCATGGGCCATTTGCTTCTTTTAGAGATTGTTAGCAATGGTATCTTGGGGATTTATGCTTCCTTTTCCATGTTTCGTGAACTGTGAGGTGGGTTTTTGTGATTCATTTATTGTAGTCTGGAAAAGGAACAGCAAGAATAGGAGAGAAATAGTGAGGGAGACAATGTCTGTGTTTACTGTTTGGACACTGAGCGCTGGCAAAAACAGTATTCTGCATTCAAATGATAAATATTCAGCAAGGATGAATCAGGCATAGAATTACCAAGTGAAAAGAATAGGTTTTATCTGTATTCGTATTGATTCCAGGTTAGTCATACATCATCTTTATTGAAAATAGCGCGTGGCTGGCAATGAAAGCAGTGTGTTCTCGCATTCCCCTTCTAACTTGCTGCTCTTTGACTCCATGCATTGTAAAGTTTTCTCTCCCACGTTCACAGCCAAACATTAAATGTAAGTAGGTACAGGGATTGGAACTAGCTGAAATTAGCTATCCTATTTTAAAAACGTAATTTATTCTTTCCTTTGCTGTCTTTTCCTACCAGACTATAAAGCCCTCTGTAATATCACAAATTACTTTCTTTCCATATGCTAATTTCTTACGCAGTTCCCAAGCACAGTGGTTATTTGATCTGTACTTAAAAATTTTATTAAATTCCCTTTCCTACCCACTCTCACGTTGAACTTTCTTAAAGGCTGTCTCTGTCTTTAGGTGTCTTATGCTAACTATAAGCCATTTTTCTTTCTCTTTACAATGTCACTTCTCTTAACACCTAGTCCGAAGCTCTTTCAGAGTTGTTACACTTTGGAAGGCTTTGACCTACCTGAGTTTGAAGTGTTGCTATCACTAACACATCTGTACTTGGCATTTCCAAAAGCAGTGAAAGACTCCAGTAATTTATGTGTATTATTTCAGATTGTAGGAAAAAACTGATCTGAAGGAAAGGTGGGTGAAATTTTCCAGTCGACATTTCTTCAGTGACTTCTCTGTGTCCTCTTATCCTAAAACCCAGCCTCCCTGGCCCTGTGACTAGCAGGTATTGGTGGATCAATGGCTAAGACACCAGGACCTGCTAAACGCCTAGAAAGAACTGACAGAAATTGCGGTCTTCTCCTGCCTCTCTAAACTTTAAAAAGCCAGCAAAGAATGATCTTTTGGGAAGGGATGGCATGATGGCCAACTAGATGCAGGCAAGTGAAACAGCTCCCACGGAGGGAATGAGACAACTGGCTGCTTTTTACAGATCTTCAGAGGGAAGGCAGGAGAGTGGGAGGAGGGCTTCAGAGCTGGGCTGAACAGGAAGCCTGGAATCCCAAAAGGGATACAGTGCACTGGGACTCATTTTTGAACCACAATAGCTCTAGAGTAAGGGGTTAGTTGAACTGATAAGGAACAACCTGCTCTCACCAGGGAGTCTGGATTCCCAGCAGGGGTGAACACCTCTACCACCATAGACACTTGAGGTGGCAAGGACTGCTGCTTGGAGAAGTGGTGGGGCAGCAAGCTGCCAATGTGGAGCCCAGAGGGGTGCACGAGTATCTGCACTGAATCATGGCTAGGGACAGCCATGCTCTTAGGCTCAACTTGCTCTCATAAGAGACTTTAGCCTTAGGGAACTGCTGGACCTGATCTCTGCAGGGTGGTCTTGTACATCAGACAGGGCTGGTCCAGCCTGAGCATTCCTTGGTCTGCTGGGCTCTTCTGGGGCACGGCCTGACCCTGCTTGCTTACAGGGCAGTCTCTGGTGCCCCGGGGGCCTACATTATAGCTTCTGTGCCAGTGGACAGTGGCTGGCAGGCGGATATCTCTAGTGAGGTGGCCCCTAGCGCTGTGCACCAGCCTGCATGTTCTTCCCCATACTGCAGCTTCCTCAGAGCCCACAACAGCTCTCCACATCACTTTACCGGCTCATGTCTGCATAAGTGGGTTTTGCTTTACTTGCCCTGGGAGCACATGGGAGTGTGCTGCCCCCACCCAACCAAAGGCCATTCCTGATGGAGCCTTGGCAGGCACAAAACCAGCAAGCCTCTCTCCACCAGCTAACACTGTGCAGAGAACAGGGGATCCTCCCACTCTCTGAGGTATCACCTCAGCTTGCAGAGCACAGAGAAGGCACTCAGACCTGTACCAGCCAGCACCCCACCCAAAGCCAAGACCACTCCAGTGCAACAACACACATAGTCTTCAGCAGGGTCCCCATGCTCACCACCCCCAGCTGCCTTGGCACTCCCACTTTGGTGAATGCCTGCAAGAAGGCAGACAGCCCTGAATATGCTAGTGTGCTGTTGAGGCTGCCACACAACAGCTCCCCCAGCACAGGGAACCCTAAACCTCTGAGAGCCAGAGAACGAAGTCAGGGCCTGGTACAAATATCCCAGAGTTAGAGCACAAAGTCCAGGAATTGGGAACTGAGTGTTGGCCCTCTAAAATCTCCCAGAAACAAAACCAGCTGGCTGAATTCATGTCATACCACAATGAAACCCTCAAGGTCATCAAATGGGATGAAAGGAAAAGACACCCATCTAAAGGTTAGCAGCCTCTAAGATTAAAAATGGATAAGCCCACAAAGATGAGAAAGAGTCAGATGAAAACACTGGAAGCTCAAAAAGCCTGAGTGCCTTCTTTTCTCCAGATAACCTCACCACCTCCCCAGCAAGGGTTCAGAGCAGGCTGAAGCTGAGATGGCTAAAATGACAGAGGAGATTTCAGATTATGGACAAAAATAAAGATCACTGAGTGACAGGGGTATGTTGGAACCCAATGGAAGAAAAGTAAAATCATGATATTAACAAAACAATGCAGAACCTGACAAACAAAGTAGCCAGTATAGAGAAGAAGGAACTGACCTGATAGAGCTGGAGAATAGAGAAGAATGGAACTGACCTGATAGAGCTGGAGAATAGAGAAGAATGGAACTGACCTGATAGAGCTGGAGAATAGAGAAGAATGGAACTGACCTGATAGAGCTGAAGAATAGAGAAGAATGGAACTGACCTGATAGAGCTGGAGAATAGAGAAGAATGGAACTGACCTGATAGAGCTGAAGAATAGAGAAGAATGGAACTGACCTGATAGAGCCGAAAAACATACTACAAGATTTTCACAAAGCAAACAGAGGTATCAGCACAGTAGATCAAGCAGAGGAAAGAATTGCAAAGCTTTAAAACTTTCTGAAATAAAAATGGCAGACAAGGATAGAGAAAAAGAATGGAAAAGAAGGAATAAAACCTCTCTGAAGTATGAGATGATGTGGAGATTCAATTTATGACTGATTGGTGTATGTGAAAGAGATAGGGAGAATGGAACCAATTTGGAAAGAATATTTTAGAATATCATTCATGAGAACTTCTATGACCTAGCTAGAGAGGCCAACATTTAAATTCAGGAAATGGAGAGAACGTGGTCAGATTCTTTATGAAGATCATCCCCCAAACACATAATCATCAGATTCTCCAAGGTCGAAATGAAAGAAAAAATGTTATGAGTAGTTAGAGAGAAAGGTCAGGTCACCTCCATGAGGAAACCCTTCAGACGAACAGTGAACTTCCTGGCCAAAACCCCGGAAGCCAGAAGAGAGTGGGAGCCAGTATTCAACGTTCTCAAAGAAAAGAAATTCCATACCAGTATTTCATACCTAGACACACTAAACTTCATAAGTAAATGAGAAATAAAATCCTTTTTAGACAAACAAATGTTGAGGGAATTCATATCTACCTTACAAGATCTTACCTTGTAAGGAGATCTACTTTACAAGAACTCCTGAAGGAAGCACTAACTATGGAAACAAAAGACCATTACCAGTCACTACAGAAACACAATGAAGTACACAGACCAGTGACCTATAAACCAACCACATAAACAAGTCTTCACATTAACCAGCTAATATGATGACAGGATCAAATCCACACATATCAACACTTAGCTTAAATGTAAATGGGCTAGATGCCCCAGTTAAAATATACAGAGTGGCAACTGGATAAAGAACAAAGATCCATTGGTAGGCTGTCTTCAAGAGACCTGTCTCACATGCAATGCACATACACTTAAAATAAAAAGATGGAGAAAAATCTACTAAGAATATGGAAAACAAAAAAATCAGAGGTTGCTATCCTAGTTTCTGACAAAACGACTTTAAACCAACAAAAATGATAAATGGCAAAGAAGGGCATTATGTAATCATAAATGATTCAATTCAACAAGAAGATCTAATCATCCTAAATATATATGCACCCAAACAGGAGCATTTAGATTCATATAGCAGGTTCATATAGACCTTCAAAATTAGTGGGAGATTTTAGCACCCCACTGACAATATTAGACAGGTTACTGAGACAAAAATTACAAAGATATTCAGGACCTTAATTGAGCACTGGATGAAATTGATCTCATAGATATCTACAGAATTCTCCACCCACAAACAACAGAATGTACGGTCTCATCACCACATAGCACATACTCTAAAATAGATCATATAATCAAAAGTAAAACACTCCCCGGGAAATACAAAAGAATTGAAATCATAGCAAACAGCCATTGGAAACACAGAACAATGAAACTAGAATTCTAGACTAAAAGATTCACTCAAAGTACTACAATTACATGGAAATTAAATAACATGCTCGTGAATGACTTTTGGATAAATAAGTAAATTAAGGCAGAATTCTTGGAAACGAATGAGAAAAAGCTTCAACTCAGCAGAGTCTCTGGGACACAGTTAAGTCAGTGTTAAATAAAACTTATCCACTATGTCTGCATAAGCAGGTTTTGCTTTACTTTCCCTGGGAGCACATGGGAGTGTGCTAAGAAAACACATTAAAAATGCCCACATTAAAAATAGAAAGATCTCAAATTAGCAACCTAACATCACAATTAAAAGAACTAGAGAACCAAATGCAAATAAACTCCAAGGCTGGCAGAAGAACAAGAAATAACCCAAATCATGGCTTAATTGAAGGAGATAGAGACACATGAAACAATTCAAAAGCTCAACAAATCCAGGGTCCAGTGTTTTGAAAAAATTGATAACATAGATAGATCACTAGATAGACTAACAAAGAAGAAAAGAGAGAGGATTGAAATAAACAGAATCAGAAACAACAAGAAGGATATTACCACAGACCCCACAGAAATGTAAACAACCATCAGAGAATATTATGATTACCACTATGTGCATAAACTAGAAGATCAAAAAGAAATAAATGAATGCCAGGGCACATACACCTTCTCAAGACTGAACCTGGAAGAAATCGAATCTCTGAACAAACCAATAATGAGTTCTTAAATTGAGGCAATAATAAATAGCCTACCAGCAAAAACAAAAATAGGCCAAGACTAGACTGATTCACAGATGAATACTACCAGACGTACAAAGAAGAGCTGGGGTCATTCCTACTGAAACTATTCAAAAAAAATTTAAGGATGAGACTCCTTCCTAACTCATTCTATTTGGCCAGATTCATCCTGAAACCAAAACCTGGCAGAAATACAACAAAGGAAAAAGAAAAACAAACAAAAAAACCCTTAGGCCAATATATTTGATGAACATCAATGCAAATATTCTCAACAAAATACTGTTAAACTGAATCAAGCAGCACATCAAAAAGCTTAACTAGCACGATCAAGTAGGCTCTATTCCTGGGTTGCAAGATTGGTTCAACATACCCAAATTAAT